TAGATATTAGGAAGAATTTCTTTACAGAAGGAGAGGTGAGGCACTGGGACAGGCTGCCCAGGGTGGAATCACTATTCCTGGAGGTGTTCAGAAAAAGTGGCACTTTGGGACATAGTTTAGTGGTCACGCTCTTGTTGGGTTGACAGTTGGAGTAGATGATCTCAGAGGTCTTTTCCAACCGTAACGATTCCACGATTCTGTGATCCTGCTTACTCAGTTCGTAGAGGTCGACACAAGCTGTTACTTCCTTTTCACTGCAAATCTGTGCCTCCTCTCTTGTGACTGATGTGTTTTGTGAAGGTTCCATTAATACATTGCAATTGACTCAGTGATTGCAGTTTAAATTTACCGGAGTTTTAATAAAATTGCCCAGAAACCACAGTTTTAATAAAAATTGCTCAAGTGGCAACCAATGGGGCCTTTGTGGCAACTCAGTAAAGGAGTAGTGAAGTTGTTCTTCCCACTATCCTGTGGCTTTGTGGAGCTTAGAGTTAACATATGGGATGTAAATGAACCCCGTCTCACGTTCCAGGGAGTGAAGGGGTGTCTGCTATGGGAGCGTGTCTTGGCTCTGAGATTCCATTTGAGCCTGACTTGTCATTCACCTGACGCATGAAGGCAGAGAAGGTGGGCTCAGACAAATTCTGAGCGAACAGTTTGGTCTTCACACGTTGTTCCCAGGAAACACAAGACTGGAGAATGGCCTTGTGGGCCCTGTGGGCTGTCAAAATCTACTTGCACCTTAGCCGAGGGGCCAAAAACTATTGACAGATGTCCTCGGAGAAGAGTTTTCTCCGTCAGAGTTTGAGGCCAGTCATAATTCGCCCCTATATATTACTTACTTTTGGGTGAAAGCTGTGCAGCGACCTTTCCTCGTGCAGTTACGGTTGCAACCTTCCGGCAGCACAAACACATGCCGTTTGGATTAATGCACTTTAGTGCCACCTGTTCCTACAATTCTTCATTTAAATATCTTTCGTAACATCTGGAGGGCAAAACAAAATGCGAAGCTGCGTGGCAGAGAGCGTTAAGTGCAATGAGCTAAACTTTTCCGTGCTGCTGTCTGCGTGAGGCTGATATCTGCTGGAACGCGGCAGCGAAGCCGATTGCTCACAGTCAGGTTAGGGGGAAGTACTTTGCTTTTTCTCATGTTAAAATAAATGCGTGTAATTGTTTCGTTTAGAAGCTATAGCACTTCCCCTTCCTTACCTGAAGGGTGCCATGGTAGTTTGGCAGTGAGATGTAGTTTAGCTTGGCAAAACTCTCCCCATTGGAAACAGCGTGTTTGTGGTGGGGAGCACTGGGAGTTCTCTGCAGGAGGTGTTACAGCCTGCCTGCCACCCAGCTGCCTTCAGACTTTGAAAAGAATCTGTGTACCTTGGTTTTTTAGCAGTTTACAGATTTATTTTCCCCATGTAAGTTGCAGAAAGCCCAAGTTTTCTACAGTAAATCAAGGTATCTTGAAGTATTTTCTACTATGTTGATGCTACAGTGGTAATTTTCTACGGAAAAACGGCGTATTTTCAGTATTGGTGTATTGTGGAATAGTTTACTTATATTGTACAGCGAGAAAATATGTGAGTAAGAATGTTGCACTGCATCCAGAAGAATGCCCATTTAAAAGTTTTGTATCGCCTTCTTCCAGACTGTTCCCTTTGTATACGCAAGTTTTTGTCCTACAAAACTCAGTGTCCGACATGCTTCGTGGTAAGTGTTTTTTCTTTTCCCCAGCTTGTTTTTTGTTTAGTTCTGGGCAGATGTTAGGACCTTTACCCTTTGGGCTAGGCTAACTAATTAATGCTGGTCATGTATTACCAGCTCTCCTTTTGGTGAGCAGCTCTTTGGGCAAAGGGGGGTGGAATTCTCCTGTTCAGAGCTGCCCTCCTGTCAGCACAGGGAGAAGTAGATGGAACATGAAACCCGGGATTTGGCGTAGAGCTGGCGTGCACAGTCTGTCGTGAAATATTTGACGTTGCCTCCTCGTTTGTTAAAATACACCATCGTTTAAAGCATGAGTGCTGGAATTTAAGCACTCACATTTTCTGTGATGTTGGCATCGCTTCGTCCTTCAGCGAGTCTTTAGAGGTGTCCACAGATCACCTGGTCCTGAAACTCAGTGACTGCTGTGCAGCCTGTGTGGGGAGGAGAGGACGATGTTATGGAGCAGGGAGAGGGGATGCTGTGAGAGTTAGGGTAAATGTGAGAAGCACTAGAGGCAGGTTCGAGCCGCTTTGCGGGCCGGTCATTTTTGCCACCTGACTTGAAGGGTTTTCTTGATTAAAGAATGCAGAATGCAATTTATTCTAGGCCTTAATTGAACTTTTCGTCTTAAGCCAACTGAGCTTTATTGAACTCCTAAAGATGGTAGGCTGCCTAAAAACAACGAATGGCACTTCAGGAATATTGGCAACATAGAAGTAATTTTCTCGTATATTTCTAAAGCGTGAAAGAGACTAGACTTTTCAGGACTGGAAAACAGATCTATTTGTTGCTTTGCCAGTTTTTAAACATTCAAACAAGTGCAGGCTACTTGATGGGGTACATTCTACTACAGCCTTCTTAAAAATCACAGCTATTCATACGAGCAAGACTAATAAAAGCTTTGTAAAAAAGAAGAGTGGAGAGAGACAGCCAGAGAGATAAAAATCAGAAATCATTTAAAAAGAATGAATAGAATGTGCACAGCCATCCCATAATTAATATATTCATTCCATAATCAGAAAGTTTAAAAAGAATGAATAGAATGTGCAAAGCCATCTCATAATTAATATATTCATTCCATAATCAGAAAATTAACATTTCCCTTCATCAGTTTTCGAGCCTTGTTGCTTAGGGTTCTTATCACATTCATGGGAGCCTTGGTTTGGTTTTCAAAATAATTAGAACCGAGCTACGATAAAGCGTTTTTGGAGACTGGGTGCGCTGAATTTTGTTGCTTTAGCTTTATGCTTAGTTTTCATCCATTACCTGTAATTTCCCAGACTTGGAGTTCTCAAGCAGTTATTTTAATTTGAGATATTTTTCAAGAAAAAACATTTACCCGTTATGCCTCTTTATTCACACAGCAATTTAGCAGGGGGTGGCTGAGGCACTGATCCAAGAAACAAATTATTGATCACTTGAACGTTTTCTGGGTACTTGTTGTTTTCACTGCATTTGAATGTTCATTTTTTTTGTTGGTTTTTTTCTTTTTTAATAGGCAGTCTCAGAATCTGACCTGAAAAATAACCGGACGTTAGATGAATTAGTGAAGAGCTTTAATTCTGCCAGGTATGCTGTAATTTCATGACTACTCTCTCTGGTTTGGCAGCTGGAAAGGCAGCTGGGACTGTGTGACCAGACCAGGAGTCCTTGCAGAGGAGCAGAGCAAGGAGCAGGGCGAGGAAATGAGTGGAGAGAATTGCAGTGTCGCGGCAATCCTTACGCTTGTGGAAATATCCTACGGTTGTGTGGCTGAACTTTACTGCCCACTCAGGTGATGTGTAGAGGTTGCGTAAGCTTATTCTGGTTTTGCTGCTCGTTAGCTGCTGCAGAAGTTACAGTCTCTTCCAACATGTAGGAAATCGAGGAGATATGTCGGGATTTTATGGGGATAATAATGGTAATAAAAGATTTTCTCCTAAGACCCTTCCTATGTGTGCAGGGGAAATTCTGAACAGAAAGATTTTGTCCAGTGGTAACGGCCAACTTGCAAGAGAATTCTCTTGGTGAAGTCATTGGATGGGAAAAATGTAGCTATTGAGGGGCCACAAATGTGAGGTTACCTGGATAAGAGAAGTAGTGGAATAGCGTGCCTTTACCTTGCTTTCTTACCTACTTTTGTGTTTAGTTTTCATTCATTTTTGTTCTCATCCCTTTGAAAGTCAGGAACAAGAGAATAAATGTGGCCTGGTAAATGCTGAGCACAGTAGATAAATGAGATTTCTGGTGTTTTCTTTCTGTTTTCTTTTGATTTCAAGCAGCTCGGTGATTTGCTGGGTATTTTATAAGTATTCCTGTGTCTATAGGAGACAAATACACCATCTTTTTCTCTGAAATGAACTCAGAGCTTGGACTCAATGAGATTGTTGGCTTCATGAGCAATCGGAGGCAGAGTTCTGTTTATGCCTTCGTTTCCTGACAGGGTTTCACTATGGTGAAGATCTAATTGTCTTGTATGACCACTACTAAGTTAAACTGATTTTATTTTGAGAATTTTAATTCTTCAGTTTCATTATTTTAGCTTGAACTCTGTCTTTGGTGTTTCCTAGTGATAAATGGATTACTATTTTTTTGTTCATATCTATAATTTCGTAGAGAACAAGTAGTGCTGACTTGGATCCATTATCATATTGAATCTTAAACGTTAATTTTTTTGACTGCTTTAATGGATCGGTATAAATCTTACCAGAGTAGTTTAATAATCTTTCCTTTTGTGACTTGGAGTTCAATCAATTTCTCAACATAAAGTTAGATCAATAATACACAAACTGTAGCGTCCTGTTCTGCGCTGGCTGGGAGCGTTCCTGCGGGATCTCAGCAAGGAAGGCACGACAACGGGCGAGTTACTACGAGAACTGCTTTAATAAGCCCCACTCATGAGAGGAATGGAGACAGTGAGTAAATCTTGCGTTGCTTCAGCGTGTGGCCACCCCATGGTGGTGCCTCTCTCAGCCTGGGGTTGCATTTACTCTGCAGATGGTGCTGAGTTCGAGGGGAGTGCTGCCTGCCTGGAGAGCGTTCGGTGACAGGAGCATCCTGACATCGTAAGAGCGCTGCCCCTCCTTCCCCGCCTGCTCTGTTCCCTTTTGGCCCCCCCACTGCAGATCCCAAGTCCAGGGGTGGGTTTGCGAGACGTGTAGAGTTGTTCAAGTCCGCCCTGACTTGACTTGGAGGCTCAGGTAGTTTAGTGTTTATGAAAATTAGGCCTTAAATCTTTTCAGTATTTCGCAGAATGCAAACACATTTCTTTAGTCGGGCCTGTAGGGCGAGAAAATGTTAATGTTGGTAGTACTTAGAGAAGTAAAAGCTGTGCTCCAAGGTCAGGTGTGCGTGGACTGGAAATCATTCTATCCGGAGTGCTGATCCCCCTTCTGCTCACCGTTCCGTCTGCGCACGAGCATTGGCGGAATTGGACCCTTCGGGATCATTAGTGCTCGGGGAGCGGTGTCATTTGTGCCATCTTTCATGTGTGTATATTTTTGTCAGTTGCAATGAGACCGGTATCTTCCGCTCGGGGAGCGGTGTCATTTGTGCCGTCTTTCATGTGTGTATCTTTTTGTCAGTTGCAATGAGACCGGTATCTTCAAAAATAAGTGTGAGGTTTGGGGGTTGTTTGGGAATTTTGTTATCTTCTAATAGAGAGATTATTCGGAGAAAAATTTCAATTTTTGCATCACCCAGTTAGAAAATTTAGTAACAAAAATTAGAGTTATACTTGCATAAGTAGAAAACTAGCCCTTGCTGACAATGATCTGGGCTTTTTTCATACATAAGGGAGAAAGATGTGTTTTTACATCCAAGTTTATATCTTAGTTTCCCAGTCGGGGTTACTTGACAGCTGGTGAGTCAGAGGAATAAACACGGCTCCTCTGAGTGCCTGAGAGAGCAGGGACATTTCTCATACACTGATTAAACGTCCAGGAGGAGCGCGGAAGGAATTTCAAGGAGAGAAATTGTCCTTTACTACAGGTAGGGCTGTCCTGTGTGTCCTGTGTGAATCCTGGGAGGATTCACAGCTCCGTCTCTTCCCCAGAATTTATTTATGTGGAAACACGGATTTCCACCTACTTTCCCTGCTCCGTAGCTGCTTCGACAAGGGAGAGGTAAAGGACCCATAAAATGGGAACCAGGATCTTGGGGAAGGAGGACACTCACTTTTTTATTTTTTTGGCAGGCCTTGCAGATCTGAATTAAAAAAAGCTGCAAGCTGTTTACACTGTTGAAATTGCAAGATGCTGACTCCCTGCGGTGTGCGGGTTTGGGGTGCCAGTTGGCAGGGCCACTAGATGTCGTCACACAGGCTCAGTGGGGCTTTTCTCTCCTCTTTTGAATTTAGCATTAGCATTTTCTCACCACCAAAAAAAAAGGCAGACAGAGATTTCATGTGCGTTCTGGCAAACAGGTTCTTGTATTCTCGTCCTGGTGTTCTTCCCATTGATTCCGTGCCAAGATCAGATCCCTTTGGAAAGTCTACTCGAAAGCCTTTACCCTTTCATACTAGGAAAAGCTCCTCCCTGTGATTATTTGTAGACCAACAGTATACTTAAAGCAGTCGTGATCATCACGTTATTGCACATTATTGTGAGGATGGATTTTGGGGTTTGTATTGTTTTTCCAGTTTTTCTCTCTCTCTGTTTTATACCAGATCATGTTTCATGGAGACAACTGTTATGACTGTTATGACAGTACCTGAAATTTGTATTCACTGTTTTTCTCTTTTATACCAGATCACGTTTCATGGAGACAACTGTTATGACAGTACCTGAAATTTGTATTCAGAAAATTTCTCTCTTCTGGCTGCAAACTTGCGTGTGAAGTGAGAAGGTCTTCCTGAAAAGATGAGGGAGATCAGCTGCGTTCTCTGGGTGAACACAACACATATATAGGCAACTGGCTAATTGTTCGTGTACTTTTGCCTTTTGGGGCTGTATTGTTCTTTATGCTGTGGGAAACCTAAACTGACACGATGCCAGTTGGTTGCATTTATGAATCAGTTTTATGTTATCTGAGCCATGCAGAATTTAGCTTGCCGTAGTGTAGGATACGGGGCTTTTGTGTAAAAATGGCTCCTTAAAAGCCAAAAGAATAATGCGATAAGGCTATGTGTTGACTCTGATTAGCTACTTTAATGGGTAGGCTGCCTGTATGAGAAGCTGGGGGAGCCTGGAAAAGTAGGTGTTTTTTACAGAACTAAAAGATTAATTCCGTGTTCAAAAAGGGGAAAAAAAGAAAGCACATCTTTGGTAGCACACCCAGCTGCATCCTTCTGAGGATTAAACTTTGCCGAAGTGCATTAGGAATAAAAGGCAACTAATTTGTTTGCTTTTGAACCTATTGGCTGTAGAATATTACCATCTGTGATGTGACCCATCTTCTGAGGCTGCAGTTTGTTACCGTTAAGTTGAAGAACGCTGCTTTTGTCTGCAGTAACAGGAGATGCTTTGGGTGCTGGTTCTGGCTGCCGACGGCCGTGGTGACACAGCGCGGGGAGGAAACCCCCCTGTAAAGAGCCGGGAGGAGGCAGGGGAGGGATGCGCTGGGCAGGCCGTGGGACGCGCTGGGGGCAGGCCCCCTCCTGCGGGCTTGCCTCAAGCTGGGATAGTTGTGGGCTTCCCTGGTGACTTTCCTGAACGTGCTTTTGATAGACGGGTTCTTGAATAGTTGTTCTTCTTAGACCTGAAAATCCTTTACCTTACAGGACGGGAAAGTTGTCTCAGTGGTTATCCAATGCTAAAATGTCGTCACATGTAAAATGGGAGAGCACAGCTGCATTTCAGACCTCATAGGAGCCGTGTTTCTTCATGAAGGTGCTGCAGGAAATAATTTTATGGCAGTGCATGTTTTTTAGGTACGTCAGCCACAGTCCTATTTAGTTGTTTGTTTGTTTATTTGAGAAGGAATCGTAGAATTGTTTAAGGTGGAAAAGACCTTGAAGATCATCAAATCCAACCATTAGCCTAGTGCTCCTAGGTCCACTGCTGAAACATTATTTCAAATTATTTATTCTTCCAGAGCTCAACACTTTGCAAGTTGAGGAGCCACAGCTGTTCTGTTTGCACAGGCTTCGTCATCTCTGGTGCAGTGGGTTGTGCTCTGTTTGAGGCTGTGGCATTTAAATAAAGAGCATGCACGTGCTGAGCAGTGGCAGTAGTAAAAATCCTAGTGCTGGCAAACGTGGCTGTGTTAGAGATGGGAAAGAGGAGGACTCTGTGGTGTTCCAGGCTTGTCTGTGGGCACTGGAGGCCACATGTGCACGTGTGAGGGGTGCCAAGCACCTCGGGCAGCTGCAGGTAGCAGCGGTGAGCGTTCAGGTGGAAACTGGCTGCTCTTGAGGGAGGTTGCGTTTTCCCCTTATTTTATATGAGAAAAGAGTGTGTGGGGGTCACCGGTCACCGACGAAACGTGACCAAAACGTTGGGTTGCCTGACGCTGCGTCTCAAGCCCTGACAAGCGTGCGGTTACCTCTTGGTGGGGTCGTGCTCTGCTGGGTGGGCGGTGAGCGGCTGTGGAGAGCAGACGGATGCCTGGTAAGGAGGGACAGAAGGAATGTGGCAACGTTTTCTCCTAAACTCTTTGGTGTCAGGAGCCTCCATCACAGCTGTGCGAGACAGTGCTTGAAGCACGCAGGCTTGAAAATGGTCACCTACCCTCTCTGAGTAAGGGGCAAAGCGTTTTGTTCCTCCCTGTGTTTTGCCTGATGTTTTGAGAGGCGTTATACCACATTTGCGAAATGTAATATATTTGATTTGGACACCAGAAAGATAGTTCTTGGATTCTGCAGAGCGTGGTGAGGCTCAGCTGGCTGCTGCTCCTGGCTCGTGTGGGGCAGGCAATTCCCAGCGCTGCGTGCGAGCGAGGGCGAGAGGGAGGACGGAATGGAGGAGAAGCTCCATCTGGTTTTGTTCTGCATTCTTCTCAGAGGAAAAACTGATAGTGTCCAAGGTAGCTAACTGCACATTGTCTTCTGGATGCTTCTAGGCAACAGCTGTTCCAGTTGGTCTTGGATACTCCACTGATTTCATCTCCGGTGGCCTGTAGCAGGCGTTCAGCTGGCAAAAGCCACGTTTGGAGTCCTGTTTCTCAGCCAGTTGTAGAAGAAAAGGTGCCATTGATTGACAGTTTCTTGAAAAAGGAAGAAGTTTGCACCTTGACAAAGGCAGACAGCCTGTCGGGAACAGGACAGAAGATTTTCAAAACGGAGGAAGACTGTAACCTTTACGGCAGTTCTGCACAGGCTGATGGTGAAGACAATGAAGTGGGATCGCAAAAGAGTCCCGAGTGCACGAGAAGCCACGAGAAGCCCTCTACGTCGATGGTAAAAGCCGTCAAGAGAGGTGAGATGCTGCGGTTTTGTTTTTGTGCTGTTCTCTTCCCCAGGTCCGTGGCTGTGGCTGGCTGCGTGTGTCAGAGCACCTTCAGCACGGGGCGTTCCTCTCGGGTCTCCGCGTTGCTCTGATCTGCGCTGGCCTGTGCGGGCACTTCCCGTCGGAGCGGCTTGTGCTGCCTTGGGATTGCTGCTGGCGTGGGCCAGCCCTGCTGCCGCAGAGTCCTGATGAGAGATGTGGGCTGAGGCCAAGTCATTAAATGGAGTTCAGCGCTTACAGATTCCTTTGCTTTGAGTAACAGTTCTAAAGAACAATAGTTGTGTAACAGACTTAGTGACAAATGAAGTGATTTTCTCTTCCCCTTGCTGTCCAGACAATCTTGACATCCATTCTGCTCTCATATCCTGAAGGAACTAGAAGCGAGGTGTTTTATGATGCTTTTCTTATTTGAGGGGTGCACCTGCAACCAAAATGATCATGGCTTCCGTTCTGTTAATATTCCTATTCATACACTCCAGAAGAAAGTAACATGCTTTATTCTTCTGTAGTTCTACACAGTTAAGATTGATTTATTCTGAAGCATGAAAATGCCCATTTTTACTAATCAACTGCAGTAAACCGACAGAATCGTCTGTTTTGATATGATGGCAGCAATCCTATCGACCCAATTAAAAGGCCAAATTAAGACAAAATTAAGACTCTGTAGGAGTACAAACCTGATTCTTCCTAGTTCATATTTATCTGTTCTTTTGTTTAACAATTTATTCAGCTGGAACTCTGAAGTTAATAATTCATTAGCTGGGTAAATACCTCCTAAAGATGGAATATACCCAGAAAAGTAGCTGTATGAAAGTGGCATCAGCTTAGCCAGAAGTTAGGTTTCCTAGTTTTATGCATCACTGTTGCTTGCTTTAGTAATTTAAAACTCTTATGAAATCACGAAATCACAGAATTTTACTGCTCATTTGTTTTTGAGCAATTGAAATTTTGACTAGCTTTCCGTTTTACGACCTGATTAAATCCTCGAGCGTGCATTACATTGAAACTATTTTCACAAATGCAAAGTAGCTGGTCAAACAATATAAATGAAAGACTTGAAATGAGGCAATATTGGAGTGGTTTTACTAAGTATTATTTGTTCCTGTGTGAAGAATTTAAATGTTAATTTCAAATACTGCAAAAGTGAAAAACATTAGCACCGAAATACGTTTGTGTTTATATTAGCCCCTAGGTTTCCAGGTAGTATCTGTGTTATTCTAAATTTTTATTAGAGATTTCCTTCTGTCTGACTGCAGGGAAGATGAGAGGCATTCTGATATTACATAGAGAGGGGAAATAAGTCCTGTGGAATGAAAATGAGAACTAAAAATGAAGATTCTGGATAGGCGTGCCAGGGCTTATAAAGAAAGAAATCTGGATTTCTGGATTTCCGTTTTCTTCTGTCAACAAGTAGTTTTTCCGATGAAATGTTTGCTCTTTGCAGTAATACACCTGCTAGTAAATTCCTTCTCCCTTGCTTTCAGTGGCTTGTCCGGTCTGTGAGGTTGCTATTCCAGAGCAATATATAAACAAACATCTGGACAGCTGCTTGACAAGGGAAGAGAAGAAGGACAGCCTCCGGAGGTAAGAAGCATCTTTCAGAGCTTTCATATGCACGTGGCTGCTTTTCTACTCTGATGAAATAAGGAATACTACCTGATGCATTGTAGTATAGCAGATTGTAAGTGCTTTTTTTCTTGGTTGCCTGCTGTACAGATGACTCTAAAATGACTGTGTAAATATGACAATGGTGACTTTCCTCTCTCGAGACAGTACGTGGATGGCAGCAGAAATACTTTTTGGCATTTAGTGGCAAGAAAGCACTGGACTATGTTGTGAAGAATTCAGTGTGGAGTAAAACTTAGTCTGTGCGTTATTCTCGTCACACTTCTGCTCACGAGCGTTAGACCTCGGTTCAGATAATACTGCCAGTGTTCACCTGGTGGATCCATTGCTTCCCTCAATTCAGATGGGCCAGAAGGCCGTTGCTTCACTAGCTGTCGGGTTAAAAATTAAAAATTGCACCTTACTCTGCTCCCTGTGGTTCTTTTCAAGTTGCCCCAGTCAAGGTTGTTTCTTTAAGATCTGTTTGGGTACGATTAATGCTTCCCTGTCACTTCATGCCTGCCCCCTAGAATTTGTCACAGTCGCCACGTTCACGTTCTTGAGCATGGGAAAAAAACCCCTAAAAGGCCCCCCTAGAATTTGTCACGGTCGCCACGTTCACATTCTTGAGCATGGGAAAAAAACCCCTAAAAGGTTCAGATTCAGAGCCAAGATTAATGTTTTCCTGTACCTGTCTGCTCACAAAGCTGTTGTCACTCTTCCAGGCCGTGCTGCTGGCGAGCTGTAATACATACACAGATCTAATTATCCAATTAAATTTGTTATTTTTCCCAAAGAATCTGTGCTTTGGTACGTCTTTGTTTTTCCAGCTACAGTGGCTATATGAGTGTAATGACAATTTTGCGTAAGCCTTTCTTTCTTTTCTTGCATACTTTGAAATTTATTTTCAACACGGTAAGTTGGAGGTGCTGAGTACAATTTTCAGATAATTCTCTTGCTGTCACAACAGAAAGCTCTTCACTTCTCTGTAATTCAGATTAGTGCAGCTGAACTTTATTCTGGTGCAGGAAGAAAAGTGTCCAACTAAATACTGTTCTTCAACTTAAATAATTTATTAGTTACAGAGGAAGGTGAGCGAGGCAGTAGATGAATTTTGGTACCTTTGGCTAGTTTGAGTGTATCTCACTAGGAGGTGTAGGGAAGAAAAATTGTGCAGAAGGAAACTGTTCTGCTAATTTTAGATGATAAAAGTTGCAGTACGACTTCAATTTTCTGTGGCAGATTCCTGTAATTAAGATTTATTTTTTTTCCTAGCTATGCCAGCAACGTTGAGTTCTGATATAAAGCAGTGTGAAGGAGCAGATTTTATTTTTATTTGTTATTTACCTGAGAGCACTATTAATTCTCTTTAATGTCACTTGCTGTATTACCAAACTACCCTCCGTTAGATGGGAACTACAGCTTTAGAGCTACCTGACCATTTTTCTCGAAGTAATTTTCCCAGAAAGCTGAAAAATCTCCTAAATCGAGATTTGCTGTGCGGTTTTAATGCTTTTAAAACGTCTCTAACTGATTCAGACAATACATGGCCGCTACTTGGGTGGAAAACCTGGGATTCAGCAACCTGAATGTGCTTTCTGCCCATTTGAAATATTCTTTGTGGCAGCTGGAAAAGGCATTCTGGCTTCCTAGAGCTGTGGCATCTGTGATCCGCTGTGTAACTGGTCACGTGTCTGTCACGGCTGAAGCGATGATTTCAGGTATTTCTTACCCCGAGTGGGTGAAATACCCTGTAAAAATGTAAGTCAGAATTTTGATTTATTTTTTTTTGCTGATATATTAATTAAAAAAAGGTCGTTCCCTTTTCCTTTTTCCAGTTCTGCTCACAAAAGGAAGCCCATGTCTAAAGTTGTTTACAACTTGCTCTCTGATCGGGATTTGAGGAAGAAGCTGAAGGAACACGGTCTGTCCACCCGCGGGACCCGGCAGCAGCTCACCAAGAGACACCAAGAGTTTGTGCACATGTATAATGCTCAGTGTGATTCTCTAAATCCCAAATCAGGTAACTTGGAACTGCTGAGAAAGTTGTTACCATCACAAACTCTTTGTGTGCATTTATCCTGCCCGTGCTGCTCAGGGTAGGAATAAGGCTGGTTTGAATATTTGGGAAAACTGGAGCCGAAAGAATTTATCTCACGCACGTCAAGATTAATGCAGAAAAAGGAAATTTAATGAAAACCAGAAGTGTGTCACTGTACTCTGGAAGTATCCATCAAGGATGTAATTTTGCATTGAAATTCTTTGATACTTCCTGGTTTACTAACTCTGTTCTAAAGAATGTTCCATGTTTTTATTGACTTTGCATTTTGAGTGCCTCTGAATTAGACTCCAGGGCTTGCAGTCAAAAAATTGGAAATGCCTGAAGTTCTTAGTAAGTGACTGGAATACTAATTTGTCTTTTATTCCAAACGTGTTTTCTTCGTCCTATACACTGAGACTTTCAGATTTTAATGTAATTTAATTTAATTTTAAAATTAGGTTTCTTTTTGGAGATGGTAGGTAAAGGTAGAATGAATTACTAAGAAGGTGTGAATGTTTTGCTGAAGTTGCTATCAGTTTAAGTGTTTGGCAGGAATTTTATACTATTAAGACTCCCACTATACATGGCATGAAACAGCTGTATGGGATAAGGAGGATGCGTTTTAGCCTCTGCTGTGAGTGCGATATAAAATTCCTTTAGACAGCACGTGTGCTCGCGCTTAATGCTTGGAAAACGCCAGGGCTGGAACGGGGAGGATGAGGTTTGTGCTGCCAGGTTTTGTCGGCAGTGTGGCCGCTTTTTAAATTTTGGATAGCACCGTGCGAGCCAGAGGGATAATTGCCCCAGCTCGTCGTGTTACGCTATTTTATGCAAGATAAAAACCCGCGTCTTTTACAAAGGCGAGTCCCCTGGTGTCACTCGGTTCCGTTCCGCGAGTGGTGCAGGTAACAGCTGGGGCGTGTGGGTGAGAGCGAGGTGTCAGGCTTACGGTTGTGTTGCTAATTATTTGATGAGAAGCTTTGCAGCAAAGGGCCCTCCTGAAGGGATTCCTGACAAGAGCGTGTTCTGGCGTGGCTCTCCTGGGAGTGGCGTGGCCATTCGTGTCCCGGAACGGCTCCCGGGGCTGGGGGTCACGGGCTGTGGCCATTCGTGTCCCGGAACGGCTCCCGGGTCTGGGGTTCACGGTCTGCGCTGGTGCAGGGGGTGCGGCGTGGGGCAGCCGGCTCGCTCGCGCTCCACGGGTGGAGAGATGAGAAATACTGTTCCTTGCCCTCCGTTTGATCACTAGTTTTCATGTTTTCAGAGAGGCTGAAGCACAAGTTCACCATTTCTTCCAGCAGTTGTAAATGATTCTGAATATTTTTGCGTGTATTGAAGGAAACTCTTTGGAGCAGATGAATTTTTGGTGGTGCCGGCAGTGGGACTGTGAATAATTTGGGGCTGAGGGTGAGAAGTACCCTTTGAGAAGGCCGCCAAATTTAAACGCAGTAAAACCCGCTTAATTCATCAGTTGTCATGTAACAAATTTTACAGTACAGGGTAGTATTTATTTAAGTCAGTGTTAAAAGGTTGTATCTTAACTCCCCGCCCATAGGGTTTTGTATGTGATCGGACCATTGGAAATGCTGAACACCCATGAATTTTACTGTGGCGTTTTAAAAATTATGGTTTTGGTGTTCAGCTCCTGTATTAAACATGCAGAACCACCAGATGCAGTGCTTTTGGAAAAATAAAGTCAGTCACTGAGGACTATAAATACGAATTTAGCAGCCAAACTTTAGACTCCTTCTTTCTGAAATCTTGGTTTCAGTTGCCAGCTCTTGGCTTGGATTGTGGGAGCAGGTGTATGAGAAAAGCGAGTTTGCAACCAGCACTAGTTGGTTTTTCATTTTGCTCCTTTAACCATTGTAAGAACCTGACTAAGAAGATCAGGAGCCCGAGTGATTTAGGTGCCAAGCGTCACTGCTTATTTTGTGCCTAAGCACTTCCAAAAATAAACATAAATCCTTTGGGAAAGTGTTTTCGAGGAGTTCTGAAAGTCTCTGGGATGAGAACCAGTGCAGAGTTAAGATTGTGTTTGACTTCAGCAGCGACAGAAGTTGAGGAAGTTTTGCTGTTTCAGCCTGCGAGAGCAGCACGGGTGTGAGAATTTCAGCCCCACCCCGATGGGTGTTAATCCTGGAGATTTAAGTGCTCGCTCTGAGAGCCCCTGGCCGGGCTCCCCAGCAGCAGGAGTAGCTGCAGGGCTGCTGGAGGTGGCGGAGGCACGCTGCGGTCCCGCTGCGGGCTCAGTACCTATTTATAACGGGTGAATTATTAAACTCACACTTAAGATGCAGACGTACATTTTCAGTGGTTGCAGTGACCCCAAGGTCACTGTGCAACACCGACAGCGGAGCTGCTCAGGAAGCAGAGGTGCCCAGTTCCTGGGTTTTGCTTAAACCAGTTTGAAGCAGGTTTTTATTCCTTCACGGCTTAATAAGCTTTTGTGCACTGGCTCCTTTAGTGTCTAGTGCACATGTTTGTTTTAATAACTAGCTGGAGCTACCTGGCAGCTCTGTGAAACCCCGTCAGTGTAGAAACAGACCTGTAAAAGTAAACGTACAGGGTCCTGCATAGCTGTAGTTTAGTTAAAATGTTAACAAATGCCGTTTGTCTGTTTATATGCCTTAGAGTAGGCTGTAATTCATCTTTGGGCTGTGGGTTTTGGAAATAAACCTGCACTGTACAGTTTCTTGTTGCCTCGGAAGGTAGTTCTTGGAGGCAAAAGAAAAAGACAGCCAGGTTGCCGCTGTAAAACGCTGCTGGCCGGATTTGCCTGGGGTTGGATCCGAGTTTTCACTGCTGCAGAGCTACTGCCAATTCATATCTTTGTGATTTAAATTCACGGTGCTTTCTTTCAGGACTGTTGCATCTTTTTATTTTACAGCTCCTCTTTCAGTGATCCCTTTCTTGTATTTTCAAACAGTTGCAGAGATCGTTAAAGAGCTGGAGAAGAATGAGAAGATTCGGGTTCAGCTTGAATTTAATAGAACTGGTGAAAATGTAAGCAAATGGTTCTTAGGGTGGGATGGCTGGAAGAACTTGCAGAGTGGGTTCTGAACGTGTTTGCCTGCCCCTTTATTTTAGTTACCAGGTTGCATGTTGGATTTCACATATACCACCTTATAATCAGCGTGATTTTCTCATAGCACTCGTTTGTCACGGGTGGTGTACTGTTGGTGTTTTTATGCCCAAGCCATTTAAGCAGGAGCATTTTTTTGAACTGTCATAAAAATGTTTGAGAAATGTTCCCCTTGGTCATACTGGAGGATTTTGACCCTCCATGGCAGCATGGGGAATGTTTTCTTTCCTAGAATTCTCTAGGATTTAGCGAGAAAATTCCTTGCTTCCGTATCAGCGACAGCGCCTGTTCTTTTCCCATGACATATGATACTTTTGTGACTTTTGGAGTATGTTTGTTGCACAGTATTAGGAAATATTTTATAGTCCACACATGCTGGGTGTCGTATGGGGCAGCTTGGCTTAGTCCTCCTGGCTTTGTGAAAGCAAAGCGAGACAGCGTGTGTAGGTACTTCGAATCTATGGTGCTGACTGTGGATGAGATGGTGGTAGCTGGTGGGGCAAAACCAGAAAGCACGTCCTCCTTCCACTTTTCAGTCTCTAGTTTTAAAGTGTGCAGCTTTAGCATCTTTTTGTTTCTGTAAATAAACATTTGTGTGATGTCCGTAGAGCCTGACCTTCACAAAGAACCAGACAGAGGAAGAAATAGATGAGATCCACACTGATTATCGTAAGTAACACAGAAACTTCAGAGTACTTTAAAATTCACCTTCTTTTACTTCATACAAAATATGCGCACAAAAATAAGGCTTTTCATGGGCATGTGCTTTCCCTGCCACCTCGTTTAATAAATCAAAGCTGGAAGTTCTCTGTTTGGGCTGAAACTTCCTCTTTGAAACTCTCTGATCTCAGAGGTTCATGTAAATTGGTTGGTTAGTTGGCCGGTTCTGTACGTCGTTAAAACTTGGACTTGCAGCAAATTAATCTATGTGTATTAAGTCACTCACTGATGGTAAATAAGAAAAGAAGGTAATGAGCTGCTTTTTTTGTTTCAATCAGTGAGTGACTTAATATACGTAGACTTAACACGTGTACAGGTAGAAAACACACTGGTGTTTGCGGTTCAGGATATTCCCTCCTCCCCTACACACTTAGTGACTGGACAGTGGCTTTATTTAAAATGTGCCTGTATTTTGCGTGGTGGTTGATCTTCCCAAGTCCTTCAACTCATCCTGTAGCAGATAAGTGTGTCTAAAATTACTCCTTCTATACCTTGTTTTTCTAGGTTTGTTGTCTAGTGCAGAGTGACGTTAACTGACGAGCAATGTAGCCACAGTAGTTCACATTTAATATGTTATTTCTAAATACTCACAGCTGCATGTTGCCTCAACCATGTGGGTTTTTACACTCGTACAGTTGTCGAAGTGGCCCTTGCTGTTGGAGTTTCATTTTTCACCCCGAGTCCCCTCTGCACAGGAGGCCAGTGCCTGTGCTGGTTATTGAACCTGCTTCTGCCCTGGCAGACCAACAGCAGTTGTTCTAGGAAGTGGAACTGGAATAAACGTCTGAGGGAAAGAAGAGAAGAGACAGCAAAATAAGAAAAATATCACAGGGAGAGCTATAGTTCAATAATGCAATTTTGTTTGGGGTTTTTTTTTGTGGGAGGGCAGGGTGGGGAAAATAAAAGAACCAAAACTTTTTTCCCCAAGAACTGATCCCAGGTTAACTTGACCCTGGAAAGCACAGTATTTTAAACGTTCTCCTTGCTCTGTGCCTAGGCTTGAGAACTGTTTTCTCGCTCCCTGGAACCATCTCCCCATCCCTACGGTTAGTTTAGAAGCGAAGGTTCCTGGGAGAGTTAAAGATTGCAGGACTTGCCTCCTGGTGCACTAATTTAGTACAGAAACGGCCAATGTAAACCAATTTATACAGATGATTTCCTTCCCCTTGTTTGTGTTTGTACATCAGCTTTTAAATAGCATTACGTTGTGCTTCGCTCCCTCGTGCTGGTTTATTATTCACGATTTCTTTCCTGTGTTTTCCCACCCATTTCGCTTCACCTGCTCTCGTCGTGCCCCCTCAAACCTGGGAGCTGGCCGTGTGGTGTTAAAGCGATATTTTGTGACCATTAAACTCTGCTTTTAGCCACGGAGGAGCAAAGCGATGAAGGGACAACTTGTTCTGATTATACTTCAGGGTGTAGTTAAGTCTGCAATATGGTCGTATTTCCTGTGTTTCCTTGCGTTGCTCGAGGCATATAAATTATTCCATAATGCAGCTAGATTTAGCCTTGTTGATTTTAGTTGGGTTTCTGTGAAGGCTAAATAAGGGCCTAAATCTTTAGCAAATTTTTCCCTTGCTTTTTGTTGCTGTTCCTGAGAATATTTTTTTTATGTGTACATGCACTGTTTGTGGTTTTTTTAATCTTGCGCATTCTCCTCTAATTCCAAATAACTGGTTAATAATTGTTCTCTTGCCGTGCAGAAATCTCTAGTGATAAAATTAGAAAAAACCCCACAACCCTAAACAAAAGGCAAAATATTTTAAAAAGTATTAATCCCAAATTGGGTATTTTTTCCCTCCAGGGCTTTAGCAGCTCTGTAAAGAACAAATCCAGATCTTGGTGACTGCGAGAGACAGTATTTTCTTTGTCTGTTGCACACATTTTAGAACAAGAAGATACTATTTTTTCCAAACCTAGATATCTTATGGAGTTTATATTATTAAAAAGATCTAGTTTCAAAATTATCAAGTGAATAAATTACACCAAACGACTTAATTTAATGTTTAAAAGTCTAAGGAAAAAAAAGGGAGAAGAGAGAAGACAGAAAAATATTTTAAGGGGAATATATGGTTTTAAAATTAATAAAAAATGAAGACCAAAGAGGTAAATGTTAACTAGCGCCAGCATATTATTTCTCATAAGAGCAATAGGGAAGAAATCATAAGCATGAAAAAAGAATTGTACATTAAAAGTAGAGGGCAGTTGGAAATTAAAAGACCTTTTATCAAATGCAATTTTTCCAGTGTAGCACGGATGCACTTTAAAAATATTTATTATACAATGAAGGGATTTTTTTTGCTTTTAATTTACAGCGTTTGCAACCTTGGTCCCTAATTCACAGCTGAATTAATGAATTCATTAACTCTGGCGTAAGTTCTGAATCGAAAACCCCAGCGTGCTTTCTGTTCTGTATTTCCACATGCAATGTGCAGCACAGCAGCGCTCTGTCACCGCCTGCTTCAAAAGCAAGTCCAGTCAGCTGCATTACACACACTGCTGGTATTTTTTGTGTGTGAAGTGTTTTTTTTGAAATAGCAATTAATATTTTGGCTTGATGAACCTGAGGATGGTTTGTATCCCAGCTGGAAGCTCTGCTTGAGCAACCACCAGCACTGGTGCCTGGAAGGTCCAGTTCAATACTCGGTCCCTGCAGTAGCTCCCGTCTGCTCCTCGGGAGCTCAACACCCTCACCCTGGTGTCACCCTCATCTTGCTTTTTTTTTATGGTGAGGCCTCTATTTAAAGAGTTAAAAAAAATGTACAGGAAAAGAAATACAGCTGGGAGGAAAAGAAGGTATTCTGTTGCTTTTTCTGCTTAAAATTCTTTTAATTTGTGTGTTACTCAGAGGCTTATTGATTTATGTCTTGTGTTTTAAAGATTTGTAATTATATCTGCGGCTGTTTTGGTATTGAAATGCCCGTAGCTTTATGAAATGTGCGTGGTATGTGCTTTGAGCACAGCGGTGCCTTACAGCGCGGCCGACTAGGGGCTTGTTCTGCCAGGACATTTCTTTTTTTCACTTGAAAAGCTTTGTAGTCACACTATAAACCAAACCAACAGAAAACAGTAATACTGGAAAAAGTGAAGTGCCAAAGGAATTACGTAATGAAGGCACAGCGGTTCAAACACGAGCATCTGGGGCGAGAACTTGCTTTTTGTTGATGAGTTGTTGACCTTATGCGGCGTTTTCAGCTGCGCAGGGAGCGGGAGTCAGTTCTAAATCTCTTTTCTTCTGTGGGCCAGGGCTTGGTGTGATTCTACCCCGGCTTCCCCTCCTGTCACTGCAGCAGGGCACGTGTCCCAGTTTGGCTCTCCCCTTCACCCGGCAGAGGAGGAAGAGGGTGCTTCAGGTGGTCAAAAAAACCGTGCAGACGTGGCACTTGGGGACAGTGGTCATGGGGGTGTTGGGTTGATGGTTGGACTCAGAGGTCTTTTCCAACCTTAATGATTCCATGACTCGAAAAAAGAAAACAAAAGCAAACAAACAAGAGAAGTGTCGAGGGAGTTCTTAACCTCAGCTGTGCTCCGAGTTGGTTTCCAAGCCCGGCTCCCCAGGACGTTCATCACTCGGATGCTGCTCTCGGTGCTGGGGTGGGTGTGTTTCACTAGAGGTTGGTGCGTTCTGCAGGGAAACGACGTGTTTCCTTCGCGCCCAGCGAGGGTTGGGTGACCCACACCGTCTGGCTGAGGAGGCTGGGGATTTTCCCAGCCTCCGACCCAAGAATCCAGGTATCTGGATTAAAACCCAGCGTTGCTTTGACTGAATACCAGAGCACTGCTTAAAACATATGAAGTGATTGTGAGTGCACGGAGTATGCCGAAGAGCAGTTAACGGTGATTTAGAGCATCTGAATCAAACAGCACGATAAGCACCACACAAAAACTTTTGACATTGCGTTACTGCAGAAATGAGGAGAAACTCAAAGCAACTTTAAAGCAATTCTCAGAGTAGTTGTGGGGTTTGACACTTTCTCCCTCCCGAAGTGCTTCTTGCAGGACCGCATGACGGGGAGAATTGTCCAGACGCTCCTTGAGCTCTGGCAGGCTTGGTACCAGGCCTCCAAGGTGAAATGTTGTCACAGTGGTGACTGCAATACTTAACAAGTTTAGAGAAAAAGTAAAAAGGCAGATCATATAAAGAAGAAACAGATGTATTTCTGTGTAAAAAAAAAGTCAAGTTTTTTTTTCTGTGCAAGTGTTCTTGATGACTGGGTAACTTTGTGAAAGCATGGACAGGATTTGGATCATTACCAGATTATGGAATGTATTGCAGTGATGAGTTGGTTTTCATTTGCTCTCACAAAAGTGTTTTTAATTCAGTATTTTGCCTTTTTTTTCTGTTCATGTCTCTCTTGCTTTTTACGGCATGCCTTAAGAGCCCTGTGGCAACGCTCAGTAATGCACGCTTACATTTCAGGAAGCAAACACAGGAGTGAATTTCAATTTTTGGTGGATCAAGTAAATACTCGGTGGAAGAAAAGTGGTAAGAGGGAAACAGAAGGTCTTCAAAACAAGGAAGGAATCACTGTCAAGGAATTACCAGCGGCCACAGGTTAGTAATGTCTAATATAGTCCCCCTCTTCGATCCACACTAATAAAGGGGGTTCCCAGAGAAATGTTCTTTCCCCTCATTGTTCTACAGTTCCTAAGGGGGAAAAGCTCATAAAAAGTCAGACTCATTTAATAAGATTGGCTGCCATTGATTTTGGTGTGATACATGAGCACAACCCATAATCAATTTTTGTGTGATTTTTAGGGGGTTATGTATGGATGTGCTTTATTAGGTGCACATTTTCATTAGCTGGCTGAAATGGCGTCCCAGGTTCCAGGCCAAATGTACTGAAGGTGCTGAGAGGGCACGTGACAGTCTGTATCTTTGAAATGAAGGTGATCGTGGGCATTGCTGGCTGGGGTTCAGCTCTTCTGTGTCATGAATATGATCGCGAGTTGGTGACTGGGAACTGCAGAGGGATTTGTGTGGATAAGAACAACTATTTGTTTGTCCTAGGGCTGAAGCAGTAAAATCCCTCGGCTTCTTCGAGGCTGTTTATACAGTTTGTTGCCGCTCGTTTTTTAACGCGCTTGGTTTTGTGTTTATGCACCTCAACACAGTGAAAAGTGGGAACGCACAACTGCAGTTACTCAGTTTATGATTTAGGAATAACGTCTGGCTCGTGTTTGCTGTGCTCGCTACCTCAGCCTCAGAGAAATACCGGCGGGTGCTGTAACGCCTTCCGTGCAGCCTTCTTCATCTCCTTGGGGTTATGTTCCTGGCTGCTTGGGCAGTGCGCATGTGTCTTTGAATGTGTAGTTTAGAAGAGCCTTCCTCAACCTCATATAACTTGTGGAGTTGTAATGTATCCGAGATACTGAATTTTGGAGAGCGTTCCGATGACCAGAGCTGGGCGTGCTGTTGTCCGCGTCCTTGGGAAAACAGCGATTTGGTTTGCACCGACTCTTACAAACCTCTGCTCTCCCGAGTGGAGCTGAACCAATCTTGGGTTGGCTCCTGGGCTGGCTCCTCTAGCAGAGCTCTCAGGAATAAAAATAAATGAAAATACCAATATAATAGTGTGAATTTTATCCTTACGTTTCATGCAGACCTTGGTGCAATGCATAATCTTTTCTATAGGAAGGGTAAAAATTAAGGAATCTCCAGGATAAAGTTTATCTTGTTTGACATAGTTTACAGCCATGTTCCTCTCCTCTAGCAGAGACGGGAGCAATGCGTTATTAGATAATGGGCTCAGAGACTTTAAAACTCTAATTTCTAGCTCTGCGCAGGGAGGGATCGGCTGCTGTGAATTACTGGCTTTCTCTCTTCCGCGTAAACCTTTTCTTTGCGCGCTGCACCTCGGGCTTTGAGAAGCTGAAGTAAAGCCATACAGTTTTTCCAGGAGAGCGCTCAGGTAGAAAATCACTTGTCAGGTGTATCATCTCGTATCCTGTTGGCTTCAGTACACGATCCCACCTCGACTGCTCCTGCCAAACCTGCAGAATTCTCATTGCACTCTTTGTGCGCGGAGCTTTCAGTGATCTTTGAAATGCCCGTTTCTAGTTGTGTGCCAGACATCTGCACCTGGTTAGCCCTTCGTAAGCCGTTTAAAATACAAAACAAAGAGATGATCTATGGCTGAAGGAACAGATGCCTAAAGCCTGTTTCCTCAGTGTTCCTTATTAACAGCAATTACCTTTCTCTTAAACTAGGACTGATATGTGAAAGGAAGAAAACCAGCAGCGCTCTGATGACTTGCGCTTTGAGAGGGTAACTGCGGAGAGGAGCAAAGGCTTTGTATGCATTGCTTCCCCACTTTAGTCAGAGTCTTACGGAAGTGCTGGAATTAAAAGAATTAAAACATACTTTTCGTTGCTTGGGGTTTTCTTTCAGTTTTTTAGGTGTTTTTTTTAAATAACCAACCCTTCGTATCTCCCATTGGCCTCTACTGTAACATTGGCGGGTGTAACTTAAACCTCTCTGAAAATCTCACTCTATTTTTCATGGTGCATTGATCGTCCGTTCCAGATTTACAGCATCTTGAACTTACAACGTTCCATTTCCAGTCTTTATGTTGTATAACTTTTTAAACACAGGGGTTTGCTTTGCCTCAGGGGAAGCACCGTAAGAATTTGATGAATACCTCTTCTGGGCTGCATTGTTGCACGGGGCCTTCGCTATTTTTAAGCTGTTGATCTCAGAGTTATGTTTCATTAGTTGGACCCCTGGCTCACTGTAATCTGCCCGTTGTTTTCAGCAGGCAAAAGTATGTTCCTGGTACTTACTCATGCGTTTTAGTGGAAGGGAAAGGGCAAGCTGTAGCTGAATCTGAAGATTGTATAGCTCCTCTGCACTCTTAATTACAGTTCTGTGTGGCCATTTCTGTCAAAGTCATTTCTGGAGGGGCAGGAAAGTCAAAAGTGCTTTGAGCAGGAGCAAAGCTCGGCTCACGCGGGTGGACAGAACGCTTCTGGGAATGGCCAGAATAAGGGTTATTAATGGCTTGAGTCTCAATATGGCTTTAATATCTCATGCAACTTTCTAGTTAAATAACTCATCTGAAAATATCTGTGGGTAGTTTCTCTTTTCATACCATACTTTCTAATCTCTAGTTGTGTTCTCTTTGGAGAGGTGGAAGTTATCTTTTCTGAGAACTGTTCATCACTTGACACAAAAACAGTGGAATAGTTTTGTGTCTGATATGGGTTGTCTAGAACTTATTGTTCCTATGAAAAGTGGAAATGTCAAGTATCTAGAGTGACACTGTTTTTCTTAAATGCATAAGGAGATAAACCCTAGTGCTTTTCCTACTGAAAAAATTAACTTAGCCCATTAACTTGATCCGTAAAACTTCAAAGCTCTCAAGCTGTCTCGCACAGTGGGTGAAGCGAGTTGGTAGCAAGAAGCATCAAAGAGCGCTGTCTCATTAAGTGTTTGCTAGTTTATAAAATAGTTTCATCTTATGAAATGTGACAAATATCCTTACTCTTTCTGTCTCTCCTTGTTTTTGTTTGAAACTCAACAATAAAACTTTTCTGTTTAGGTCTCTAGTTCTTAGAGGGTGGGGTTGGTTGGTTGGGATTTTTTTACTATGCGGGAGAAAAAATGAAACCTTTGAAATTGAGGGGTTTGGGAAACAGGTAAGTGGGAATGAGGTGTTGGTATTGAAGTACTTATAACTTACTTTTATCTTAATCTATCTCCAGGCTCCCAGAAATTTAAACAGTAGTATTTTGCTTTGACCTTCTTGCTGAGCTCTGCCTTTCTTTTTGGCAGAAGCCAGGGAAGAGCATCACACAGCTGTTGCCCCTGGAGAAGCCCGGGTGCTCCAAACGGAAACTCCTGATGTCAGAAGAAGTGACTCTGGTTCCCTGGAGCAGGGCCAGAGATCAGTCTCCCCTGCATTCTCCCTGTCGTCTGCATCAACAAGCAGGTGAGTGAAGAAGAGTCTGTTCTCCTTGGTTGGTACCAGATTAGACCAAATATGGGAGAGCTCTGCCAGTAGCCTTGTGCAATATAGGTACCCTCCTTCTTCAGACAGATTCCTGAACTGTAGCTACTGATTCCTCCTTCTCCACGCCTCTGGCTGGTCAGTTCCTTGAAGAACAGAGCTGAAATACGTTCAAGATTCACTTAATAGTTTTGTAATGACTTGCTAGAGGGGTGATGGTGTAAGTGTCACTTTTGATACAGAGACAGTGAGTGGAATATCTCTTGAACCAGGAGAACTTCTGGTGTTTCTCTTCCACTGCACCATCTTCTGTTTCAAGTTTTGTTTAGAGAGGTCCAAAAATCGATACAGCCTAAGTCTTCTAATAGCTCTTTGAGTATTGCTCTAAGAAATAGAGTTTAAATGACCCATTACTTCCAGTCGGTGTAGAATGCCACTGAACTTTGAAGACCTGACAGCTGTGCACTTTTCTTTCTTCATACGTTCAGTTTTACTTTCTGAAATTGCCTTATTTGGCTCCAGAAAATGAAGGATCAGGGAAGTCTTTACAAATAGTGGGAGATTTTGTGCTTTTGGTAGTTCACTGATAATTTTACTGGAAGGAGACTCACCTGTTATTGATGATAAGAATTATCTAGTTTTTGAAAGTAGTGTTTTTGGTAAGATATTTCCTTATGGGATCATTATTTACTGTGTACTACTAATCGATTGTCAAAGATGATGATGCCGAATACTTAAACATCCTATTGCAATATTGGTTGCTGTGTAGCTCCAGTTTCTGGAGGAAAAGTGAAAAAAAGCCATTGAAAAAAAATACAGAATAACTTTTTTTGATATGTGCCTTAAAGCAGGAGGGCTGATCTTGAAAATGATTTTGCTATCTTGGCGATAACAGAAATGAGAGGAGAAGGCCCCCTTTGCAGGTCTGCATTGCCAGGAAGAAAAAGGTTTCCTATGTTTAGAAGTGGGAGATAATCAGAGGAAGTAGCTGAAGTTCAACAGCTGAGCTAGGAGTAACATCTCTTTAATTTCCCACCCATTACACCCATCGTATGTGCCTCTTATTCTGCAAATGTTAAGAATAACATAGCACTTGGCTCCATCATTGTTTATGAAAAGAACAATTTAATTGTTGAAAAGTTTAACAGAAACAATTTTTTTCTACATTTGTTTTTGTTCGCAGGGAGTTTTTAGACCTCAGCATGGGGATTAAAGACGTTGCTTTTTACAAAAGTAAATATGAAATGGTGAATGAAAGCCTAGGAAGCCGTAGGGAAATGGAGACCAGCTTGGGGGGTTAGAGAGCACCACATGTGAAACGTCTTTGTGTTACGGGATTGGGTTTTGCTGCCTGTTTCCATTTACTTGAACTAAATGGGAGTGTGTAGTGAACATTTGTCTGTGAACAGCAATCTGCTGGCTGGGCAGACCACTTCCATGGAGGCAGAAAGGCTCTTCGTTGCTGTTTCAAAATATCATTACATTTTGTTTGGCTTCAAGCTTGTGTTAAATACCAATAAAGAAGTTCCCCTCCTGGTGCCCTTTTCCCTCTTTCCTGTATGTGTCTTTCTGCCTGAACAGTTACTGTAAAATTGATAAACATAGCATATCATTGGATTTGCTGTTCAACGTGTAACAAACCTGTTGAGATTCCTGGTGTACTAGTTTTATCCAAGTTTCTCAGGATGTCGTGCAGGTGCTCATAGATTTTCCTTCCCTGCGACACAGGTAAAAGTTATCTCGGTGACTTCTTTGCTTCTAAAATAAGGTCCAGTGTTCCAGACTCGTGAAGAGACTTGCACATTGTAACACCTGATATTTGAGCATCTTAATTTCATGTCGTCAGAGCAGGATCCAGAGATCTCCACAGGACACGGTGAATCCCGGCAGCTGGCTGACCCTCTGGAGATGGTCTGGTCCAAGGCTGCGCAGAGCAGGTCAGCTGGAGCCGGCTGCTCGGGACCTTGTCCCGGTGGGTTTTGGTGTCTGCGGGGATGGAGGCTCCATACCCTTCGCTGGGCAACCTGCTGCAGCTTTTGACCAGCCCACAGCACAGAGGCTTTTCCTCAGGTGTTGCGGGAATTTCCTGTGTTTCAGTTTGAGCCCTGTTCTGTGGCTGACCCCGCTGGGAACACGCTCTCATCTCTGCTCCCTCCCGTCAGGTTTTGCTGCACAATAAGATTCCCTTGAGCCTTCTCTTTTGCAGGCTGAACAGCCCTGGCTCTCTTGGCCGCTCCTCTTAAATCTTAGAAAAATTAAGGGAGTTGGAGTTGGCTTTGTGTGAAGCAGCGTGCTGAGCGGGGAGCCATAAGGGCTTCACAGTGACACCACTGGTGTCTGAACTGTGCCCCGGCAGCGTGCAGGTGCCTGGTTTGGCAGCGGCACCTCGTGATTCACAGCCAGAGCCCTCCTGATTTTAGACACTGAAGCCCTTTTTAGAAATGGCCCAAGATTAAGCCCTGAACTGGAGGGAGATATCTGCCTCCTAAAAGGCTCTTGCAGCCTCGTGCAGCTCTGGGTTGTGACCGTCTTCTCGTGAAGCTGCTCCACTGGGCATCTGTACCGAAAGACAGAATGGGCCAGAGAAAACAACTCTTCGAAGGGCAGAAACCAGCCCTGTGGCTTCGTTCCAGAGACTGGTTTCACGTGCCTGGTCTTCCCAGTTTGCAGCCTGTGCTGTGACTGCTGCGTGCAGCTCGGGGCCAAGTGTCACTTTTGACGGGTGGTGGCTGGAGCTGCTTCGTGCTCGCCGTGCCTGCTGTCACAGGTGCCCTACAGCTCTGGTTGTTAGTTCAGTTCCACAAAATAAACGCTTTCAGTTTGGCTCTGAAATCCAGAATTTAAGCAAGGTGCTTCTCTTCTTCCCTATTTTATTTAATTTATTTTCTTTGATTGCAAATTAACCTTTTGGCTTGAAGGACCTTGGAAAATTTTGAATTTTAATCTTGGAGTGAGTTCTTGGGAGGTAGAGAGACCCTGTGCTGGCTCATCCAAGGCATCGTTAAATCTGTTTCACCGCCAGTTTGGTGTGTGAGTGGTGTCATGAATGATTCTCCCCATGGCCTTTGCCATCAAAGTTACTGTAATTCTTTCCCTTTTTCTGTCGGCAAGCTTGTGTATATCAGCATGAAGTCTGGCTGAAAGTGTGTCTTTAGAGACTGTAAGAAAGTTTGCTGAAGTTTATTAGCATGTGGCGGTTACTGATGATCTGAATGTGCTTTAACGAACCAAGCTGGCAGGTTTTGTTGGAAAGCGTTGTTGCTTGCGTTATGTCAGGCTCAAGGCAGAGTTGTTTATTCCTTCTTTTTATGCATCCGCTCTCTCCAAATGAAGTATTTCCACAGACTTCTTGCATCAAACACAGAATCAGTTGTACACACCAGTGAGTATGCTTCACAGATATTTGGACCTTCTTCTAAAAACGAAAAACGTGCTGCATAGCTCCCTGTGGTTTTCCCTTAAAATCAGCTCCCATGGAACAGGAGCAGAATTTCTGGAGTTTGCACAGAATTGTTTTCTCAGAATCTCTCTGGGATTTTCTCTTTGCTTCCCTACTTTTGTGCATGTCCTGTAGTTTGTACATGTGGTGTGGTTCTATATTTATTTTTCTTTAAGCGCAGGGCAGTTTGCCTAACCTTAAAACCTGGCTCCTGCAGTGCTCCAGAGGTTCACCAGAGCGGTGGGGGTTGTTGGCGTTGTTGCCCCCCACCCCGTTACACGGGGTGTTACACTTGGCCGGTTAGCAGGTGGGCTCGAAAGTGTGCCTTGGGGTAGATTCTCATCCTTTCCACTCAAACCGCTGCTCAAAAAGAGGTGAAAATAGCAATAACAATACAGTGGGCTGCCAAGCTCCATCTGCCAAGATTGTCTCATCCTCCCGGTGCGCAGCTTAGACACTTCTCGGGTAATCAGACTCCAATTACAGCAAGATTTCGGGGATTGTAAAAAGGAGTCATCGTATCAACTGCCTGAAGGAAAGAGATGGGTTTGATCGGTCCCTGGTTACCATGGAGTTAATGTTGTTGCTAATTGCAGTGAAATAAATATAGCACAAATCCAAAAAAGAATGATTTTGAGCGTTTAAGCGGCATTGTGCTATTGTACCAAGTAATGATTTTCTGAGACTTGTGTTTTATTTCTGATAATAAGAGGATATCCTTTGACAAGGGTCAGTGTTTTTCACATTGAGATGTCAAAACTTGAAATATATTTGGAAGAACAGATATGAATACTATTTTTATGGAGAGAGCACTTCTAAGTGAAGGGCTGGTGTTATGATGGATTAAAAGAAAATGTTGAGTAGCATATAGAATAAAATAATCTTCAAGTCAGAGACTTGAAATGTTTGCTCAGTAAGAAGACGCTGCAAGTAAATTAATGATTCTAGTGTTTTCTTCTGAATTCAGAAGAGTGTCTGCCATTGTCAGTCTCGTATTGATACTGGCTACGGGAGCAGTTGGTCAGTATTAGAAATTCGTACGTTGTACAATAATCACCAGTGTACCGATACTATTCAAAAGTTGATATTTGAATTGAGAAAGTGACAATTTTACGCTTGCTGGAGGAAAGATCCAGGCCACGCATGGAGGTGATAGCATTGGCCCAGTTGTGTTCGGTCTCTTCCTAAATAGATGATCCCACCAAGAGAGGAAAATGTGCATAACAGATAAACACCAGAACAAAGCTGTGACCTCTAAAGGGTAGTTTTTCAAAGCTATGAAGTCATACATAAAGCTCTCATAGAACTTTAATGCTCCACATAAACAGTGCCATTAGGTTCTTTTACTTTCTGGGACTGGTGCCAAATTTTATGCAACTGCTTAAACAATAGGAAAATTAGAAAAGAAACTAGGTGGGACACCGATAAGCCAGCTAATGAACTATGTAGAGGAAGTATTCTATTAAAAGTATTTTATATAATGGGGAATAATATTCAGGGTTTTAAACAAATTGTTTCTCTTTAAGACTTTGCCGTAGAAGAA